CCCCAAAACCCCAAAACCCCAAAACCCCAAAACCCCAGCTGACAAAGAAGTTATTGAATTATTAAAAATATTATATGCCAAAGCACCGTAATAGGAAGAGACATTCCAGGAAGAAGACTAAGACTAAGAGCTTAGTGGTTCACCAAGAGAAGCAGTTTAAAGCAATCTCTTCTGTTATGTTCCCTCCACAAAGAGAGGATCAGAAGGAAGACAAACTTTTGAGGTAGGCAACCGCCTGTTTCAAGACTTTAACAGAATTATTTCACTCCATGGGGTTTGGATTTCCCAAATTTAAATTTGTAATAGAGAGAAACGTGCCGGCAAGCCAGAAGGGATACAAAGAGTCTCGCTTAGGATAGCCAATGATATGGATGTATATAAGTCAAAAATTAGTCAGGTGTTAATGGTATGAAATTTGAAAAAAATTTAGAAGAGAAAGAAAAAGATGGAAGACCCTTATATGAGTAGAATGGAGTCTGAAAGTTGGGATACAGAAAGAATGGACTCTGCTTCAGACTTCTATGATCCTAAATGAGACACTTTACCTAATAATCTCGGTAAATCTCTAAAAACTTCCAAGTAACAATTTCCATAGTCATCCGCCCCAGATACTCAGAACTCCCAAAAACACCTCTAAAGCCATCCAACTCCCTCTCCCCACCAAAAATCTCCAAATCCATTGCCCAAACCTTCCTCAATCCCTCAAATATCCCCTCCAAAATGCCTCAAAAAGCTCTCAACAGCTCTATTCCCACTAATTTCTTGCGAAACACCCATCTCAGTCACAACAAGATCAAGAACTGATCTTCAATTCCTGTACCTGAGCTAGGAATTTCGCAGAAATTCCTGTCTCAGGAACAGATTTCCAAAAATCTGTTCCTGACTAAGATTGACCATGATATTCGGTCTTTCAAGCTGAATTTTGAGTCACAGAATGATCTAGAGGGAGTGAAGAATAAGACCAGTTTGGTGCCTAGATGGCCTCTTAAGGAAGAAATAAGGTATTTTAAGTAAAATTCATGGGATTTTGGACTATGGGACAGGGATTTGAGTGGGGTTCTGGGGAGGATAAGGGAGTTTGGGGTAATGATTTTAGGGAAAATTTGGAAGAAAGGAAGGAGAGTGTGGAGATTAAGCAGGATTTTGGGAATAAAGGAAGCAGTTATTATAGGGCTGAAGAGGTAATTTTGTATTGGGTTTTGAGACAATTTTTTTAGGTAAAATGGAATAAAAGAAAATTTCAAGATGAATATAAGAAGCAAATAGATTTAATAAAAGTCAACAAGATTGACCTTATCCCTACAGAAATTCAAGACAGACGTAATGAAACTAGGTAAAGTTCGAGAATAATAAATTCAGATTAAAAATATCTTACAACAGATCTCTTCAACCTGTATACAACTACTTTAAATATTTTAGTCACCTTTTGTAACTGCTCAGAAGAAGAAACTTAAAGGAAACAATTTGTTCATGAAGACTTATGATGATTCCAAAATGTATTTCAGAGAGCATAATTAAAAAGAAAGATACCTTGAGGACAGCTTTAGGGTCAAAGCTTCAAGTTGTTAATTACTCATCATTAGGTATACTCTGCAAACTTAATGATTTAGCAAAGAAGTCTCATTCTATATCAACTCCTGATATAAATGAAACTAAGATTGATTCTGAGAGTATTAAAGAATCTGAAACTACTAAAGATATGCAGAATCCTCCTTCGGTAGTCTGTAAGCATCTTTGTGAACTTCAGCAATAACAATCTCATAGACCAAAAATTTAGAATAACAGTATCAAAAAACCATTCTGAGCTTCGTAAAAATTTAATGTCCCATAAATAAACAAAAAGTCCTAAAATCCAAACGCAAAAAGCACCTTCCAATGCTTCCTAGCCTGTCTAAAGGCTTAAAAGGGATCAAATCCACTTCAAAACCAAGTATAAGTGAGAAAATTGAACAAGAGTTCCACAAATTTCCTTCAAAACCACCTTCTCACTTGAATTCTGGTCAAATTTCACCTCAAAAATCGTACTTATTGCTCTCATTCCTGTAGGGACCAGTTACATCTCCACCAGTCTAATTCAGCTGCTGATTACCTGTGCCAGGTGGCACAGGAGCCTAGCCAGGTTACCTTCAATATAAACTGAGGGGCTAAGCCCTCTAGAGGGTTTAGCCAAGGTAATGTGAAGGATCAGTTCTTGCCAATGTCCAAGAGCTTCACGAAGAAAATCGATTAAGAATGAAGAAATTGGGAATAATTTCAGGATTTAAGAATTTTAGAGTGGGGTTTTGGGGTTTTGGGGTTTTGGGG